CAAGAAACTGGCTACTTTTTGGGGGGTCTTTTTACCCTAACTGCCTAGCCAATTCCTACCTCCTATTCTTATCATGCCATCCTCTGAAGGGGTTACCTAAATTACCAATAGAGAATAGGGACACAGATCAGTCTGGCTTCTTCCATGCTGAACAAGGACATAGGGTTAGGCAGTTGGAATACCCCTTCAGTGGGTCTATCTAAAAGACTCCCAAATTGCATAACTCTTATCTCTAAGGGGAGACGAAAGTCCTTGAACCATGAACAGGAGATGTGAAGGAGAAGTAAAGGCAAGAGTAATTAGCATTACAAGTTCTAGACAGGAAACTAGAAAAAAGTCAGAACAGTAATTAGCATTACAAGTTCTAGACAGGGAACTAGAAAAAAGTCAGAACAGGGCAATTTTCAAATGTTCATATGAGAGTCCATTGGAGTTTCTTGACAAGGACTTCCAAAGCATCCCTCTATTGGATTCTTCCTCATTTTTCTTTTGTCTTCCAAGGCTGGACTAGTTGGCTGGGAAGAGTGGCTGGATACTCAGGTGAGGGTCCAGTGACCCTGCTTGGCCCTCCTTTAATGAATGAGCACAATCGTCAACAAGCCCAATTGTGACTATGTTTAGCAATCAGGCTCAGCCTTTCCTTTACCTCCCTGGTTCCTTTCCCTTATCCTGGTTCCTGTAGTTATGTCTGGAAATATACTCACTTATCAGGGTTTGGTTCTAGGATCCACATATGAGGGAGAGCATACATCCTTTGTTTTTCTGAGTCTGTGTTACTTCACTTAGTATAACAGTTTCTAGGTCCATCCATTTACCTGCAAATTTCATTATTTCATCTTTCTTCATTGCTGAATAGAACTATATGTGTAAATATATCACAGCAATAGAAAGCAAACTAGGGAGGGCAAGTCCCCTAATAGTTAATCATTCACTGGTAGAATCAGCATACATCCTTTGTTTTTCTGAGTCTGTGTTACTTCACTTAGTATAACAGTTTCTAGGTCCATCCATTTACCTGCAAATTTCATTATTTCATCTTTCTTCATTGCTGAATAGAACTATATGTGTAAATATATCACAGCAATAGAAAGCAAACTAGGGAGGGCAAGTCCCCTAATAGTTAATCATTCACTGGTAGAATCATAAGTCCTTGTTGAGATGTTTTAAGCAGGAATGTGACTGAACCAAATGTCTCTGGAAAAAAAAATCTTACTACTCCAATAGATTGACGGCAATAGAGGGTTCTAGAAGGCCAAATCTGAATCTATCGAAACAACAGATATTGCTGACTTCTGTTTGGGGACATAATAGTTAAGAGGGGCAGAGTGAGGCATATTTGAAATGCATTGAGAGTTTCCAGGACTTGTGGTTGGCTGTTAGGTGCTTATCAAGGAGGATACCAACTTGATGGAAAGAGCAACTGTGTAAATGATGGTGTCACTTAAAATAATAGGGTCATGGAAATTTGGGGTGAGAGAGCTTGAGTTCAATTTTGAAGATGTTGTGTTGTCTGGGAGACATACAAGCAGTTCATGCTGGCTAGGGTATTGGATTGAAACTCAAAAGAGAGATCTGGGCTGGGGCTGCTCAACAGTAGAACCTGGGAATAGATAGGCTTCTCTTCCCTTATTGTCCCAGATCATTAGCCACAAGAATGCTTGTCTAATCCCCTTAATGTCTGAGGGCTCAGAGGCCTGGCTTGGCATACTTTCCCCTCCTTTCCTGGCTCATTGGTGGATGCCTGATAGGTGCTTACTAAGTGTCTGTGAACAGGACAATAGATGAAGGGGCCTCCTTCTTCCATGGTCTGAATTTCCCATTGACCTCTGGTTATCTAAAGAGCTGTCTTAAGTTTCATTGTTCTTGTTAGTTTTTCTGGTTCCAGGCAGACTTTTTGCATTAACATGTTAGTCATCAGTAGACAGTCATGACCCTCCCTTTTCACAATAAGGCTGGGTCATGTCAACTCAGAGGTCCCATCCTGGACCTAAACTTGGTATTGACTATGTAGGAGGCCATCTTCATTCCAGTGGGGAGGCTGTTGTCCAAGAATTGGACTACTAAGGAGAACTCTCCAGGCTTCCCAAGGGATACTCAAGCCTTTGGAATTTCACAGTCCCCCTCATGAGCCTAAGACTCCCTTAATCTCTATAGTCAATCCTTGACCTAACACTGAAAGTTGCTCAAAGAAGGAAAGAGCCAGACCTGTTGTAAGATGAAACATTTAAAAGGCCTGGAATTTGGAAATATCATCTGAACTTTCAGGCAGAAAGTTTCCATTGTTGGAAAGCTTTGTTCTGGAGATCAGAGAACCTGAGTTCTTGGTCTGAAATTCCCTGTGGAATATTGAGAAATAACTTCTCTTCTCTGGTCCCTTTTCTCATCTGAAACTGAAAAGACTTGATCTTGAAGTTGACCTTGGAGGGCTCTTCCCTTTGTTACATTAAGAGGAATTCTATGCTGGGCTACTGAGTAGTCTTGAGCTCTGCCTCACGGTGTCAAGATGCTTAAAAATCTTAGAACTAAATTGAAGGGTGTAGGACCCTCTGCTGACCCTCTAAGACAGACATCCCGTTTCCTACAAATGTCCTTGTATAGAATCTAGGCAACAGCAACAGGACTGTTTCTGTAGGGAAAAAGAAAACCCCAAGTTAGACTTCATTGTTTTTTATGGCTGAGTACTATTCCATTGTGTATATGTACCATTTTTCTTTATCCATTTATCAAATAGACACTTAAGTTGCTCCTATTTTTGGTTACTGCAAATAATGCTGTCATGACCATCGAATGCAGATGTCTTTTTCAGATAGAGGTATTGATTTCATTTCCTTTGCATAAATATTCTGTAGCAGAATTACTGGATCATACAGTAGTTCAGAATTTCCTTATCTATTCCCAAGAGGGACTGTAACTTGTTAAAGGTCATAAGTGGGTCCATACGAAACAGAACCCAGTCTGCTTTAACACATAGAGATACATGCACATGTGCACACATGCATAACTGCATACACATACCACCCTAAACCCCATCAAAGCTGTTGTTTCTCCACCGCCCTTTTGGCACCAACACCTGTCTGTGCAGCGCTCCTGTCTCTGGTGGAACATTCCTGCTCAGAGGGGATTGAAAGGGCACCCGTAGAATGCTAACCTTCCCTGCCCATTGGCAATTGTAGTTCCTTTAAACAGAGCCCAGCAGACGCTGGCTCAGGGGAGTCCAGCAGCCCATGAGGAGCTCTGGATTGTCAGAAACAACTTCAATCCACATGCCATTGGAAGCCCTCACCCTGTTCTCCATCAAGTAAATCCCCCAAGACAAGTGGCTTTGGTGAGGGCACTGATGCCTCTGGGTGTTGTCCTGCAGTCTGTCTGGCCTAGCTTTGGCAACGTCCTCACCAAACTTGATGAAGCCACTGAAGACGGTGGGCCAACCCTTATATAAAGCCAAGTTGAGAATCTGAGAACCTAGTGCCAAGGCTGAATGTCTGATCCAATAAAGATTAAGAGTTCCAGATGCTTGTCACCAGTCAACCTCTTATTAGCTTTCTGACCTTGGGCTTTAATGACCTGTTGAGGCCTCATGACCTTATGTAAATAAAATGGAGACAATCTGTCACTTTGCCATCCTGGAGCACATTATCCACTTTCCCATGTCATTTCCTTGAGTACTTGCAGAAGTCTAATGTCCCAGATCTTCTTCAAGAACACAAAGGATAAATATTTACTCTCTATAGTGAACTCACAGTTACCCAACAAGGAATATATTAAGTGTGTGGACACTCTAAAGACTTCCGACCCCACAATGAGGAGTATTTTCTTTTTTTTTTTTTTCATTAAATAATTCATTGAGAATTTCATACATGCATATAAGGTGTTTTGATCAAATCCATGTCCCTTTCCCTCCCCTCCAAGTCCTCCCATCTCCCCATCACTTTTTTTCTGACAACTTCATGCATTCATTTATCTTCTTTTATTTATTTATTTTTATGGATCTTTTGGCTACTCTAACAGTCCCCCTCTGAAAAGGTAACCCTAAAATCTTTTAAGGTTTAGATACAAGGTCCCCACATTTTGGGCCTTTGGAACAGAGTGTGTTGCTAAGAGGCCCAAGGACATTTTGACTGTTAGCCAAGAAACTGGCTACTTTTCTTTGGGGTCTTTTTACCCTAACTGCCTAGCCAATTCCTACCTCCTAGTCTTATCACACCATCCTCTGAAGAGCTTACCCAAGTTGCCAGTAGGGAATTGGGATACAGACCCCTCTGGCTTCTTCCATGCTGAACAGGGATGCAGGGTGAGGCAATTGGAGTACCCTGTTAGTGGGTCTATCAAAAGACTCCCAAATTGCATAACTCACAAGAGTTATCTGTAGGGAGGCAAGAAAGGCCTTGACTGGTGAATAGGGGATGTGAAAGAGAAGTAAAGGAAAGGGTAGTTAGCATTATGTATTCCAGAAAAGGAACCAGAAAAAAAAATCAGAACAGGGAAATTTTCAAATGTCATGTCAGAGTCCATTGGGACTTATTGACGAGAGCTTCCAAAACCATCTCTCTATTGGGTTCCTCCTCCATTGTTTGTGTGCATGTGTGTGTGTGTGTGTGTGTGTGTGTGTGTGTGTGTATGCATGCCAAGGCTGTACTCGAGAGTGATGGATTCAGAATTTGTTTTCAAGCACTTTGATAGCTGTTGGAGTGGCCAAGTCGGGCCTCCATCTGTGGGGTGGGGGGGCGGGGCAGGGGATGAGTAGGCACGAAATCAATGACACAGACTTTGGGAGTTGCTGCTCAGTAGCGGGCTGCCAGCGAGCTCATTTATTGCGTACAAAGGGCTTTCCTATATACCCCCTCAAACCTCCCCCATTGGCCCTGAGGGTTGAGCTGTATATTGTCTATTGGCATGACATCTGTCTCTAGCCTGGGCGGCAGATATCAGGTTAGCTGTTTGAGGAAGTAGGATCAATGACACAGACTTTGGGAGTTGCTGCTCAGTAGCGGGCTGCCAGCGAGCTCATTTATTGCGTACAAAGGGCTTTCCTATATACCCCCTCAAACCTCCCCCATTGGCCCTGAGGGTTGAGCTGTATATTGTCTATTGGCATGACATCTGTCTCTAGCCTGGGCGGCAGATATCAGGTTAGCTGTTTGAGGAAGTAGGTCGTGTTAGACTGGTGTGCCTGCACAGAAGTCTCCAGGTCCGGTATTCTGGCCGATCCCCACAGGCCCCTCCTACATTTCCACCCTTTTGTTTTTAAAGGCAGCCCAGAGGGAGTCAGGGTGCTGCCTGACATTTTCGTACCCGCCTCGAGATGACCTTGAGAATACGGGTTGTGACTGTCTTAGGTTGTTCTTACTCCGGGCATAAGCCTTACCCGTCACGGGAGCACACATCTAGCTCACGCATGTCTTAGGTTGACTTGTCCCTGTAGAATCTTACCCGTCATTGTCTACCAACCCTGAGGGAGGTATAGTCTCAGGGGGTCTGCCAGGGTGGAGGGCTAGTTTAGGAGGAGGCCTTTTGTATCTCAGTTAGCCAGGTCTCTATGACCTCTTGAGGAAGGCCCAGGCCTGGATGTCGTAGGGCGAAGAGGGCCTGGAGAGTCATCTTACTGATGGTCCGTTGGCAACAAATGTGTGACAGCAGGCACCTGAGGAGAAACAACACAAGAAGGAGCGGGCCTCCTACTATTAAGTAGGTTAGTAACCATGATGCCAGTTTGATAGTTTAGTCGAGCTTGGGATTCAGCTGCCTCGTCATATGCCAAATGCCAATTAAGGAAAACAGGCAGTTGGAGGACCGCTTTGAGGAGATTATACCAATCATAGTGGGTTTGCAACTGCATGGTCCATTGTTTTAAGACTTGTTCAAAATACGGGGAGTCAGGGCCAGACTCATTAACGGCCTTGCGAATAAGTGAAAGATCCATCAGGGGTGTTGGTATCCAGGGTTGCTGTGCGGCATTTGCACCAACATTAACAGGAAAAGTGAAAGTAGGGGGTTTTGGAGGTTGTGAGACCTGTGGCTGGGGTGGAGGGGCAAGGGCGGGCTTGGGGGGGTTCCATGTGGTGCAATGGGGTTATTTCTCTCCATGGATAAAT